CAGGGGGTTGGGGTGCAGGAGCAGGTTCGGGGTGCGGTCGGCGCTTACTTCAGGTGGCTCCCAGAAGTGGCCGGCATGTCCGGCTCCTAGGCATGGGGCGGCCAGGCGGCTCTGCGCGCTTCTCCCAGCCGGAAGCGCTGCCCCTGCAGCTCCCATTGGCCGCGGTTCCTGGCCAATGGGAGCTGCGGAGCTGGCGCTTGGGGCAGGGGCACGTGCAGAGTCCCTTGGCCACCCCTACACCTAGGAGCTGGACATGCCGGCCACTTCCGGCAGCAGCGCGGAGCCAGGGCAGGTAGGAAGCCTGTCGTATCCCCACTGCGCTGCTGACCAGACTTTTAATGGCCCGATCAGCGGTGCTGACCGGAGCTGCCAGGATCCCTTTTCGACCAGGCATTCCAGTCAAAAATCAGGTGCCTGGCAACCCTAAACGCTGGCAGGGGATCCCCACAGCTACCCTCGGCCTGTTGGGATTGTTACGTCTCAGATTCACCTCTGAAGGGATTTTCGGGCCTCCCCCAGCCACGCCGTGTAAAACAGATTTCAGTCGTAGTCTTGTGTACGCTGTGCTTCAGTCGACCCAGCCTGGCCTGGGTGTCAGGACTCCTGGGTTCTATACCCGGGGAGTGGGGTCTAGAGGGTTAGAGTGGGGGTGCTGGGAGCCAGGACTCCTGGGTTCTATCCCCAGGGAGGGGAGTGGGGTCTAGTGGTTAGGGAGGGGGGGAGGGAAGCTGAGAGTCAGGACTCCTGGGTTCTATCTATGAAAGGGAGAATTGTCTAGTAGTTAGAGTGGGAGTTGGGATTCCTGGGTTCTGGGTCTAGTATTTACAGCTTGGGGCTAGGAACCAGGACTCCTGGGTTCTATCCTCAGCTCAGCCCGTGACCTGCTGCGTCACCTTGGGCACGTCACTGCCTGCTTCCTCAGTTTCCCCCTCTGTAGCACGGCCATAATGTAGGGCCTGAAGTCTTTTCCCACGTGAGGCGAGCAGCAGAAAGTCACGTCCTCACATCCCATCTAAATTGCATCAACCCAGTGTAATCTGGGGCCGAGGAGAAGGCCCCTGTCCTCGCAGTGTCCACCTCTACCAGATAAAGACATCGAGCTTAAGATGTTTACAGAAAACTTTGGGTGAGCGCATCTGTCTGGCAAGGAACCGTTGTGGTTGTGAAATCTGTCTTGTTTTGCCTTTACGGTCCTTCAGTTTCTTTGCATGGTTTCTGGCTGGTTCTGTGATTGTTTCTATCTGTTGTGTAACTCATTTTGGGAGATTGGTCCTGTCTCGTCTCGGGAGGTTTAGATCCACTAAGGGGGTGGGCTGGGATTGGGTGAAGGTTGTTTTGCCATCTGTTAGGATTGGACACAGAATTAGTTTGGAACATTTTAGTAAAACGCTTGGCGAAGGTCTAGCGAAGCAGGACTCATGTTTAACAATTAAAACTGGGGCCCAAAAGGAAATTCTTTGGAGCCAGCTCCAGGACCCAGCCCACGCTCAGAGCTGCCAGACCTCATCCCCCTGCCAATGACACCGTGCAGAAGCTGGAGTCCCCAGACGATGTAATCGTGACTGGCTGTCCCGGAGTCCCCGGGCGATGCTCTGGAACTGCTCCCCACAAAGCCAGTCAGGACTCTGGGGAGCCTCCTCTCCCTCGGAGCAGACCGTCTTCAGGGCACGAAGCTCACACGGCTTCACCTCCTGGGTCTGACCTTGGAGCATTCAGCATATGCCCCTCCGTGCGCTTCCCACAGCGAGTCCGCCCAGGCGGGGTCCTGGGGAAGCCAGAGGGTCCTGCACCCCCACTTCGCAGTCAGACGTGACTCTCAGCCAGCCAGTAAAACAGGTTTATTAGATGACAGGAACATGATCTAAAACAGAGTTTGTAGGTACAGCGGTGAACGGGACCCCTCGGCCGGGTCCATTCTGGGGTTCAGAGAGCCAGACACCCACGTCTGCCCTCACTCCTAGTCCCCAGGTAGCTCCAACTCTGAAACCCCCTCCAGCCCCTCCTTCTCCCGGCTTTGTCTCTTTCCTGGACCAGGAGGTCACCTGATCTCTTTGTTCACCTTTAGCTATTTCCTTGCAGGGGGCGAAGGGGCCCTGGCCATTTGTTGCCAGGGAGACAGAGTGTCAATGATTTATGCGCACTGGCCTTTCCCCACCACCTAGAGACTTAAGAAATGCATAGGGGAAACTGAGGCACCCACACAGTATTCAGAGGAAACATTAGGGTTACCATATTTAACAAATAAAAAAAGAGGACCCTCCACGGGGCCCTGGCCCCGCCCATTTCCCCACCCAGCCCCGCCCCTTCTCCACCCCAACCCCGCCCTGACCCCACCCCCTCCTCCCTCCCACGAGCGCTACCGGCTTCACGGTTTGCCGGGCAGTCCCCAGACCCTGCGCCCCCGGCCGGCGCTTCCCCAGCACAGCCGGAGCCCGGGAGGGGAAGTGCCCGGCCGGCGGCTGGGGTCCGGAGGCAAGGGGGCTGCCTGAAGCCCATAGCGCTCGGGCAACTCGGCTCTTAAACAGAGCCGAAGAGTCAGGGGAGGAGCAGAGCAGCCGCGGGAGGGGAAGTGCCTGGCCGGCATTTTCCCGGACATGTTCGGCTTTTTGGCAATTCCCCCCGGACGGGGGTTTGATTGCCGAAAAGCCGGACATGTCCGGGAAAAACCGGACGTATGGTAACCCTAGGAAACATTAAGAACAGTCCCACTTCGTCACACTGGCCACTGGGAAAAGTTCGTCTGCCCTATTGGGAGTGGTCAGCAGTGTACGTGCGGCGGGTGCCTTCTGGTTTGGTAATTGTTAAAAAATAGAGGTTCAGAATATCACTGTGTAAGGCTCCTTCACTGGTAAAAGGGCCCTGATCTCGGCTGGGGTCTGGGCAGCGCCCAGAGTGACGGGGCCCTGATTTCGGTCGGGGTCTGGGCAGCGCCCAGCGCGACGGGGCCCTGATCTCGGCCGGGGTCTGGGCAGCGCCCGACGTGATGGGGCCCTGATCTCGGCTGGGTCTGGGCAGCGCCCA